ACCGAGCCATTGGGTGCTGAGCGGAGGGTGCCCCCCATCCACCCTGTCCTACCTGGAAGCGGAGGATGATGGTCCAGATGAGGCCGAGGGTGAGGCGGTGGTTGCCGTCCACGATGTCGTGGGAGCCCACGTTCTCCAGGTGCACCCGTTGCTCCTTGAGGAACTGCAGCGCCTTGTCCACGTTCTCCAAGGAGTGGATCCGCATCCGGCCCCGCGTCGGTTTGGGCTGACGGAGACACCGGCACCCGGCACCCCCACCTCCGAGAAGGTCCTCCCACCCAACTCATCCCCCACCCGGTGGTGATGGGACCTGGGTGGTGCTGGGGAGGTCCCAGCTCATCCCAACCTGGTGGTGATGGGACCTGGGGGGTGGTGGTGGTGATGGGGAGGTCCCAGCTCATCCCAGCCCAGTGGTGATGGGACCTGGGTGGTGCTGGGGAGGTCCCAGCTCATCCCAACCTGGTGGTGATGGGACCTGGGGGGTGGTGGTGGTGATGGGGAGGTCCCAGCTCATCCCACCCTGGTGGTGATGGGACCTGGGTGGGGGTGGTGGTGGTGGGGAGGTCCTGGCTCTCACCAGCTGCTCCCCGGAGAGCACCTCCAGCAGCCGGGTGAGGACGTAGCCATCGCGGAGGTCGGCGTAGAGGTCCCCGATGCGGCAGGAGACGCGGGCGAGGTGGGAATTCACCCATTTGGTGAAAGTCTTCTTCTGCACCGCGTCCCTCTCGTCTACCCGGTGAGGGAACGGGTTGAACCGCGATGCCGGGGACTGGGGAGGGCACCCCGGTGGGCGGGCTGTGCCGGGGCGGCGAGGATGGACCTACCGGCCAAGGCCTTGATGCGGGAGCACTCGAAGAGCTTGGCGGTGGCCGCGGCGTCGTCCCAGCCCCGCGCCTCGCTCTCGTCTACCCGGTGAGGGAACGGGTTGAACCGCGATGCCGGGGACTGGGGAGGGCACCCCGGTGGGCGGGCTGTGCCGGGGCGGCGAGGATGGACCTACCGGCCAAGGCCTTGATGCGGGAGCACTCGAAGAGCTTGGCGGTGGCCGCGGCGTCGTCCCAGCCCCGCGCCTCGGCGGCCTCCCAGGGGCCGTTGTTGTTCTGCTGCTCCATGTTGGCCAGCTCGGCCGCCACCGCCGCCCTCGGGCTGGGG